GAATTACGTCAAAGCAGGTAAGTTGAGGTGGGTTAGCGCACATTTCTCCACTAAGTCGCGAAGTTGTTTGAATGATTTTCACATGGCCGAATATAACAATGGTTATGAAATTGTACACTTTAGTCAGTAGCAGAAATAAAAAAGCCATTATCTTTTTCATTACACAATCACTGAAACCTGATGACCTAAATGCTAATCTGGCAAAATTTTTTGTTAATGGTCTTGCGAGATTCTAATCATTAGGACAACACAAACAAAATTACCGTGCGGCCAGAAAGAAAATTTCAGGGCTGAAAAGGCTAAAGATGTCAGCCCCTATTTCAGTTCTTCAGACGTATCTTTCGGCTTATATAATGAGCTGGCGTGTGGCGTATCTTTGATTTCCTAGTGCAATATTCATCCTTGGATTATGATTCTCGCGTATAATTGTTCACCTACTAATGGTGGGTCCTCGTACAAAGTGCAAGTGATGTCTTTGGGAAAGAATAGTTCAACCAACGATGACCCTATCGCGGAGCACTTTTTGTGGGCATGCGCTCACTCGCCACATTTGCACCTAGGCTCCGTCATATAATGAAGACGCAGAGAAATCACTGTTCCCATAACCTACTTAAAGATTTGGGTAGCTGCACATCACAGCATGAATTGCTTTGTTCCTTTCAGGGGCAAAGCTCCTTATGATCGAGGCTTGGACGTTGGCGTTGGTGTTCATTGTGCGCCGTAGCTGCCACTGAGGATGTAGAATGAGTGCATTCCAGACCACACACTCTGACTAAAACGCTAATGATGATGATGATGATGATAACAGACGACAGGCTTGGACAGTAGATCACGTCTCAATACTCTCTATGTGTATCGCACGGAGCACAATGCCATCGGCGACCAAAAGAGACATCTGACGAAAGTCTTGGGCGACGCCGAATGCGGGTAAGCTGAGCCTTGCACATTCATCTAACAGAGAGGAGGAGCGCTGCGACTTAGTTGAGTGGGACGCAAACTTACCTTCATATACATTGACATAATAGGAACGAGATCACCGCAACTATTCGGTTTTCGGACTGGCCCGACACACAGCGGCTGTTTTCGTCATCAGAATTGACACTTCCCCACATTGGAGCCATGACACTGGCAGTGAATTTCAATTATTTCGATGCGACAAGTTGTACGTATGATTCAAATTGTCTCAGACAGATCACCATATTCTGCGCTCGAACACTCCGTATACTGCCTCGGACACAAAAAGATTTCTGTTTTAAAATATGAAGATGTAAAAACTATTGCAAGACGACTCTAAAAGAACTGCACGATGGCCACTGCGAGGCAAGTCATCCAGTATTTCTCTTTAAGAGGCACACGGTGATTGGAAACGGCCTTTAATGTCAGCAGGCGAGTGAAAATAGAAAGGAAACGTTTGAGGGGTGAAGCTCTTCTTATTCTAACCTTAACCAGCGTCAGGCGTAATCGATTGATCGATTGATATGTACGGTTTAACATCCCAAAACCACCATATTGACGCAAGACAGTTGCAGTATTCAAACTACGCGTGCTAGTTCGTGCGCCCCCGAAGAGACCAGTGGCCCTATAATTAGACAAGTAAAGGCCGTGACGGAGCGCGCCTCTTCAGCACGGGATTTTGACGAAAAATAAGCGATGCACCGCTCGAGGGCTTCTCGGAGACCGATTCCTTTTGGGGATCGCCTGTTAGAAATGCTGCTACATTTTCCTTTACTTTTCGCAAAACTTCGGTGGAGAGGAGTCGACTAGGCACCAGGCGACAGAGTTTCGATTTGGACTCCCGTGCGGACGCCTAGCCTTTCCGAAAAGCTTATGTGCCTCTATTTGGGCCCATACCGTGTCCATCACGTCAGCTCCTTGAACTACGAGGTTTCACCGGAAGGACAAGTGAGCTCATCAAAATGCCGAAGGAGCACAGGAATCGCGCATGTGGTCAGAATGAAGCCATACTATGACAGGCAATGAACATCGAACTATACACACCCGATCATAAGGAATACCTATTTCTCCAATGGAGACTACGCATTCAGACCATGTCAGCAACACTGCTTCTACACATCGGGACCATGCGTTCTTGGAGGAGGGATAATGACGCAAGACAGACGCAGTATTCAAACTACGGGCGCTAGTTCGTGCCCCCCCCCCCCCCAAGAGACCAGTGGCCCGATGATGAGACAAGAAAAGGCCGTGATGGCGCGCGCCTCCTCAGCACTGGATTTTTGACGAAAAAGAAGTGGTGCACCACTTGAGGGCTCCTCGGAGATCGATTCCTTTTGCCGATTGCCTGTTAGAAAGGCTGCTACATTTTCCTTTACTTTCGGGCACAAGTTAGCCACATTAAATAGTTATTCTTACATTATCTGCATTGTGCGTAACAATATGATTATGAGAGACACCGTAGCGGACGACTATGAGAATTTAGACCACCTGGTGTTCTTTAACATGCACTTAAATTTGACTATGCAGGCTTACAGTATTTACGCCTCCATTGAAAATGTAGCCCCTGAAGCCGGGGTTTGATACTGCGACCTGCAAGTCAGCAGCTGAGTAGCTTAGCCACTAGGCCACCACGGCAGAGCGTGCTGAGGAAAATCAACGCCAAGCTTCGTGTAAGGAGCATGTCCGAGTCTAAAGTCGGGATTTGATACCGCGACCTGCAGGTCAGCAGCCGAGTAGCTTAGCCACTAGGCCACCACCACAGAGCGTGCTGAGGAAAATCAACGCCAAACTTTGTGTAAGGAGCATGTCCAAGTCTAACGCTATACGGGTTCATCTGACGTGGCTGCGATGAGCGGGTCGGACAAACTGGCCAGACAGACCAACAAACACAATCAGACAGATGGACGGACACACAGACAAATAGATGGACAGACAGACAAATGGACAAACAGACAGACAGACACAGACAGATGGGAAAACACATGGACATAAAGACAAACAGAAAGACACAGACACACGGACCGATAGACAAATAGACAGACACACAGACAGCCAGACGAAGAGACAGACACATGGACAGATGGGCAGACAGACAGATGGACGGACAGACACTTTGCCCCACTCATCATCATTCACTTCATCATCATTCTATCACCGTGCACAAATTTTGAAAATTCCTTCCGCATTCGTCTTAGTATTCAACAGTACATGAGCTTCAGTGCTACAGTATGCACACGAAAAGGCGTCGCAGAGCCCCTTTAAGCGGGATTCACACGAGGAAGAAATTCCCGAAGAAGAGGCGAGGAGGGCGCATCTCGTGACAACGACGTCACTGGTTAGTGCATCGACGCGACCTTCCCGCAATTCCTAGGGGGAGGCGGGGATCCTTTTTCCTACTGGTCAAACAATCCCAGTGCAGCGGGGGATATAGCGGAATTTTTGGTGGGTCTGTGGCCACATTGTAGCCCTCTCTCCTGCAGTGCCTGCAGAACCCGGCGGCGGTGGCTGTTCCAAATTACACTCCGGACTTGCGTGCACAGTGATGGCAAAAATGAACGATGATGTAAAAAATGACACAACTTTTTTTTTTCCTCTCGTGGAAGAATATCATCGCTTGTGGAACATCTCTTCCAATGACTATAGTAAAACTAACCTAAAAAATAGTTTGTGGGAGATGATAGTCAAGCAGATGATGGAGCGCTACTATCTCTATGAAGTGATATTTTGTTTTGTCTTGAAGTGGTTATTCTGATCAGAATTGTTACATCGCCCACTTTTGTTGTTACTGCAGCTGCTACTGCTCTGCTTGTTCAGCCTGGGGTAGATGTCTTACTTTATAACAAAATTTTGTTAACGGGCCTCATTATTCAAGATTAGACGCTTGAAATATAGGCAGCCGTAGAGTCCGAGAGCTGCTTTTTATTTTCAGAATCATGACATAGTTCACATTTTACTTTATCAGCTGCGCTGATACAGCCGAGTCTGAGGCTGAGTTCACATATTGTAGTCAGAAGTGGTCTATTACTTTGTGTTCGAAATTCTAATGAAACACTTTTGCAGATAATTGTCAAATATTAATTGTATTAATAGGCTAGATCCCTTCCGTTCTAGGTTGTTCTCATGAGAGAAATGCTGTGATAGCATAATTCCTTCGTTCACAGAAAGCCAACCGATATCGAAAGATACTGAAATTACTATCTACCGACTCAATAGTAGTATTTGACGAGTCAGAGAGCCTGTGAGCAATTTCGCAGTCGATAAAAAAGCAAAAACATAAGCCGTTGTCAATGACACTTCCCGAAATGTCGCTTTGTGCGAGTTCGTTTTTGCAAAAAAGAAAAGTTTGTGGTGGCGAGTCAAACCAAGAGCAACACCACGTCTGCAGTCTTCACAAAAAAAAAGACATATAAACAAGGAAGTTTCTAAAAGCAACAAAGCAACAGTTGGGGGGGGGGGGGGGGGAGGAGGGGGAGCGAAATGGACACTTCCTTCAAACCACACCAGCACTTTCCTCACCCAAGAAACACCAGTGCTTTCCTCCTCCTCCAGTCAAGACACAATGCGGCTTTGAACCCCTCTCCAAGATGAAAGCTTGCGATATCTATGGCTGGGGGTCAAAGAATTCTTCAGTGCTCCTGCTCCATCATATGGTGGAGGCTCTGGCTACATATATATCCCTCACCGTTCGCCTCGTAGCCTCGTCCATGTGAGTGAGGGACATTTGGGGGGACTTATCACTGGCGAGGTCACTAGGCTCTGTCTTCATCCCCCGTGTATTTTTCCCTCATGTGACTCCCGCTTTAAGCTCCATATGCATCACACCCTAGCACACTCAGTACCTTGCGGTAATGAATGTTAATGTACAGTGCACGAGGGGCCCGACGCGGCCCACAGTTTCTGCACAAGGAGCGGCGCAAACTATTGGAACTGCCATGTCTGCAGCTATGGTGCTAAACAAAATGGCAGACTAGAGGCTCTGGGCCACCGAGGCCAGAGCCTTGGCGTTAGACTCACTGTTACACTCGCATTTCTTATTAAGAAATCTCAATTGTGTCATTTTATTATGCGAAAGGCAAGAAGCAACACTATCGCTGCTTCTGTCGCTTTCCCGCCATCTTTCCACGTCTTGGCTTAGAACCAGCCCCCAGCTTACGCTTCCGACTTCTCCAGTCTTCGCCACGGACCCAGGCATCTCGGTCTCTCTCCCATCTGAGCTGCTTGGCGCCTGATAAAAAAAAAAAGACATAAGAAAACATAACAATTTCACAACTGGCAGCAAATATCTCTCATGTGGAAACAACAAGGCATCCCAGAGAGATGACCAATCCGGAAAAAGGTTCAGTCCCAAGCAGTACTTCCAATACGATGGCAACAACAGCTGTACTATATATACTATACCAATGTCCCTTATTGCATGGCGATGCCCGTAACATTATTTGGCGATCTAGCCTTTGTGATACTTCCATTCTACCGCAGCATCCCTTATTGCATGATGATGCCCGTAACATTATTTGCCAATCTATACCTTGCGATGATCACATTTCCACAGCATGCAAATTTTAGACTTCTCCCTTCTTTAAAAAATATTAGCTCACTTTTGATGTTGAACAGAGGTAAGGCTCTATGAAAAAGGTTGCTTCAACATGATTGATGTCTGCACAAAAGAAGAGCAGACATCAATCATCGATCGCCATCATAATCAAAGTACAAGTGATATTGTGGAGGCATACCACACGGCGAAGTGTGTTGGCAATTACGTTAGCCAGTCATTTGTTGCTTTATTAGAACAAGAAACTTGTTTCATCGATCAGATGTATTCTTGCGTCGCGCATGATTTTCTGTATACATATATATATATATATATATATGCTTTCTTTCAAATAAATTTTCAGTTGCTAGACCAGCCTTTGTTCTGTTTCCTTCTCATGTGTGTTTCCTTTTGTGCGCTGCCCAATTATAGTTGAGCATTTCTGATAGTTTCTGCTACATAATTTATGTAATTAATAATCAAAAGCGGCCCAAGGATAGAGCCTTGAGGCACCCCTGATGCGATCTGTACGCCAGATGACTGTGTGGTGGGACATGATGAATGTTGAGCGTGATTGCAATTATTCGGCTATCCAATGAACTAGCTTGCTGTCGCCAAATAAAATGTGAAAAAGCTATACGTTTGGCATGGCAAACCATGTAAAAGGCCTCAGAATAGTCAGTAAATATGGCATCAATCTTTCTTCAGTCGTCAAGGATAGAAGCAATGTCGTACGTGAATTCAAGCAACTGTGCGACAGAAGAACAGCCCGCACGAAAGCCGTGCTGTGATATGAACAGTATATTGTGTGCGTTCAGGTATTCCACAATTTATTTGTTGATGATATGCACCAAAAGATTGGAGCCGGTAAAAAGCAAAGATATTGGCCTATAATTGCGTATCTGCTTGTTCCCGGACTTAAGGGGAGATGCTACTCGAAGACAGCTTTTTTTTTCAATATTCACCTTAGAGTATGAAACATGACTGTTTATGGAACTTTTTATGCTGATTTCAAATATATAATTAGTTTTCTTGCAAGTCGCTTATTTTTAGCTCTGCAAAATGACAAAGTGAGAACCTTAACCTTTTTGCCCCCCCCCCCCCCCCCCCTCTTTTCATCCCTAAACTTCGGTAATTTTTTACCATTGATCGTTCATAGTGTTTTAAATAAAGTGTAGAATGCAAATAACTAATTAAGAAGCACATACAAAATACGTAATAGGCATAAAAAATAATAGACATAAAAAATCCATATTTTAGCTACCTTAGTTAAGGTTTACATACATTTTTCTATTATAAATAAAATATTGAAATTTGAACTAGATAATTGTATTTGTCATACATTGGAAAGCAATTTGGGCAAAATTTCATGCGGATCCAAGCACTAGAAGTGCCCAAAAAAAGGAGGGGTACATTGAAAAAATGGCGAAATTTTTGTTTTGAGAAAAACGAGTTTTCATTTATGAAAGATGTCTACAAATACGATGAAATTTGCACATCAAAAAGAACAATCCTTCTTGTATTGGCCACTGCCACAAAAATACGCCAGCACCATGAGTGTCTTTCTCGGCTTTTTCCAGCAGACTCCTCACAGACATTTCGCTCACAGAGAGGGCCATAAAACGCTTGTCAAACTTCTTTCACTCCATTTGGCAGAGTTTTGTGCCGGATGCAAGCTGGGAAGAAGTTCAAAAGGACTGCGAAATCTAAACTTAGTCCAGTGTCGAGGGACACAACAGTGGCAATGTCATTTTGCGCCCACGGTTGTGCCAGATATTGTCGTGCATAATAGCAATGTCATCCCCCCTAAGCTTCCTCACTGTGAGCTCCTTCTACCTCGCAAGATTGGCACTGACATCATTCATTGCCGCATCCCGAACTTTCTGGCTCATGGCTGTGAATGTCTTTTGATGCATTGTCTTTTGCAAGCCAACAACTGCCGCAAATGGGACCAGCTGCTCATAGCCTATTACTACAGAGCGCGTCGCCACAATGGCTTTCACGTGCAAGCAATGTCTTTTTTCATTCATAACGGAGATACATACACGACTAAAGCATTGTTCAGCTGTGCTGCTCGAAAAGACATGGATCCTGCAAGTAGGCTTCACCGCACATACAGGCGCGCAGCGACCAATGGCGCTCCCCGATCCATATCACGTAATAAGCCAGTCGTGGCACTCGAAAAACGTGCAAAAGCATGTTTATTTTTATTATTTATTGCACCGCATCAGCAAGGAAAACTGTCGTTATTGGAAGAGTGAGTCTCGACTCTTCGTCTCATGTGATCGACAATGGCGAGTGGCGGTGCATTATCGGCGGCAAGGTGCTCGAAAACTGCACTTTGGGCCTTTTAACAGGCACCTTGTGCTCTTTAGACGCAATTTTAAAGCATTTCCAGTTAAGTCTCGACATGTTTTTTTTTTTTTTTTTCAGAATAGTAGAGGTACTAATTTTGTCAAAACAGTCGAAAATAGAAAACCGGTAATTTTGAAGAAAACTCGCAAATTTTCTCACCTGCAGAACTGTGGCCAGTTTTTTTTTTTTTTTTTTTTTAACGTCACAGTAAGATAAGTAGTACACTATTCTCAATACCACTTTAAAATCATATTTGGAATGCAATCTCTGCCAGAGTGTATCGTGACCTCTAAATTTAGTATAAGGTTATGTACCCCAGAGGAGCTTAATTCAAAATTAGAAGTGCAGGTAGTTTGCTGCATGTGGAAAAGAAAGTAGTGATGCCGTTATCAGCAAAAAAGAACAAAGACGACATTTCAAATACATATCAAAGGCATCTGTTTCATTTTTCAGTGTCTGAGGAGAATCCGTCATCAAGAATAAACGAACGAATAGACAATTCACGACCAGAGACATAGCCGGGGGTGGCACACCTGAGCCGCGGCATAGAGAGCGAGAAATGACCACTTTAGGGGTGTGCCACCTCCTCTCCAAAAAAGTTCGGGCTGTGTCCCTGTGCAGGACTAATCCATTTCTAGTACCTGGATGAACTTTTTGTTTTCACAAATGTAGCCAAAGCAATAATCAAGTAGGAGTTGTTTGTCTCTTTCATTTTAGCTTCTAATTTACAATGCATTAAATGAAGCATTATCATTACATTTGGAATGACGATTCTTATGTAAGTACTTTATGTGATGAGCGAGATTAAATAATTCTCTATTGTATCATGGTTGTCTTGGGTTTCATTTATTATAGTTTTGAAGCACATACTTTTATAGGCATTTCCACACAATGTGAACAAATTTAAGAAACAGCGCATCTACATCCCGAAACTTGCAATAACGTTCAAATTTCTCAAACGATAAAGCTAAAGCGTTCAATACGAAAATGTCAGCCACTTTAAAAAGTTAAAAAAATGTTTTGATTTGAGGTATTTGAGGAGAACATGGCAGGTTTAAGGTGACTTCATTAGCTTCATGGTCAGAAAATCCTTCGACGACTTCACATTTTACACCCTGTGATGGAAGCACGCAGCCCCATAACAAACTAAGGTTGCAGCTAACCTTTTTTGTCTGCTCTCACGAAACTGTAAAATGCTGGTGTATGAGAATACGGCCACTTCCGGAACCAGCAGTGTTCGTGCAGCGATACATGAAGCCGTTTGCTAGAAAGGTGCACGAGCCGTTCGCTGATGCCAGCTGTAACATGGCGCTTGCCGACCACGCCCTTATATTCGAAGTTCGCAGATGCGGATCGAGTCATGCAGCTTCCTACCTCAGCGTCTCTTCATACTCCTTCGTCCAGCAAAAGATGAACAGGGCTTCCCTCTAGTTAAGAAGCAATCAACAACAGGCATCGCACGCAGAGTGATGTTATCGCATGCGCTCTTTGTGCGATGGAGATGAGCAGTTTGTTTCGTCTATATGGTTCAGCACTGTTCTCTGCTAGCGCTCGCGAAATTTTTCTCGCGCCAACAGCCCACAATGCCCGTACAGAAGTTATCGATTTGGGCTTTATGAATGAAAGCCTGTACGGAGTCTCCGTACAGTTCTTCTCGCAATAAAAACACTTACAAAGACTGTATAAGCATGCTGGTCTTTTTTTCTGGAGAGCTGCGTCGTCTTCGCTGTAAAGAATTCCTCGGTTGGGAGAATGAAATAGTCGGACACCTCTTCCTTTGGTGAATTCTTCACTACACTCGACAACACCCCTTCAACTACAACTCTTACAGGCTATATTTCTTAGACACTTATGTTTTCATAAAGCACGTGCGCAATGTCAGGACTAAGCATTGAGCCTATCAAGATTTTGAGCTTGTCGGCTACACTCTTGTTAATTCCGCTTGCACATTCGGGTACTCCGAAGATGCAGCGAAATCATGAGTTCATCAGACGCGATAACGATGCGAGATGAGGAGGAGAGGGGGGGGGGGGGGGGTGAAGGCATGGCAAAGCAAAGTTGGTGACAATTCAGAAGTTATATTTCTCCTGTATGAACCATTCGAGAGTATCTGCCCTAATCACGTCCCGTGAGTCACTGTTTTAGCCTCACGAAGAGCGCAAGAAAACAACAACAAAAAAACGAGAAACACCAAGAGTGAATAACGCGCTCCATTGGGTATTTTCAGAAGCTGTTTTACAGCCCTCTTACATAGACAGCGCAAGCAGACATGGACACAAAAAAGTACAGTCAAGACACTGCGAACAGTCCGACATATTAAAGCTGAAGAAAAGAAGGTGTAGTAATGCCTTTCATGTCCCGGTTCCCCGCTTGGGTCAAGATAAGAGTGACGGCGGCGGCATGGTCCTTTTCAGGACTTCTTGGTCACAACGTTCGTGCCGCCACCGAACGGATGGCCGCGACATGCCATCACACAGCTTTATTTCCGAGCAGAGGAAGTTATTTTCACTGTATTTCCAAGCTGACACATGGCTCTGTGGTACGTGCTTGCCACGCAAAAGACCCTGGTTAGAACCTCCCTCACACCGAGAATTTTTCATTATTTATTTTATTTGCATATTCCTTGATTTTTCCGCCACGTACAATGTGATCCAACGGCACCAACTCATTTTACTATGCACTATGTTCATTAATAAACCAACCAAGCCACATAATAAGAGTCCTTATAGACAATCTGTGTACAGAAAACGAGCCTCAAATGGTAAGTAAAGTGCTTGCCCAGACAGGATGCAGAACTGTGGATGTGCATCGTAGCAATGGCAGTAAATAAGCTCGCCCCATCCCAGCGAGTCTCTTCACAAAACAGGTCTGCCGAACCAAAACGTGTTCAAACCAAGTTCAGGTGACAGCGAAGACAAACAAGCCCAAAATTATGGGCATGGGTAACATCATGCTTAGGAATTGAAAAATGTTGGGTGAAATTAAAAGCGGCGTGCACTACTCTTTTCTTTATGCGCCTGGTAAGCCCTCTATTGCAGTTGCAGAAAGAGAGTAGCTTTATAAGCTCTGATAAAATGTAAAGATCTTCCATCAGTCAATCTCCATGACTTACCAAAGTTTAAAAAAAATTCCCTGAAAACTCTCCGACTTTTTCAGGTTTGTAGACACCCTGCTGCTACTGCTAGTATGCTAAATTGTACAGGTGATGCGTTCACAGTTAGCCACTCCTTCTGCCCCCCCCCCCCCCCTTTTTTTTGTTGGCTGCACCGAGAGACATAGGTTTCAACTTAGCAATAGTACAGTACTATAGTGTGTTAAGTCTCAATAACCAAAAAAACCAAATACTTCGCAGACTTACTTGCTTTATCCTTGTTGGACACAGCCTGTGATGTTGTTGTGTCCACTCCTCCAGCATTTTCTTCCAACAGATGTGAAAACTGAAGGTGTTCGAAGAAAAAGATTGCTTATACTTGGATATAATGAAAGAATGCGCACAGGGAATGGCACGAAAGTCTACAGCTTGGTTGCGGTAGCACGTGACAGAATGTCACATTTTAAGCACCCAGGGTTGCACGGCCTGCCACACAAAAAGACTAACACAAGTGACCTGCGGCCAGCGCAATCGTCGCCTGTCCTAGTCTTTTTTTCTACAGTGACTATACATCACTGTTCACGATGTTTGCTTTCCTAGTGACATGAGAATCTGGTTCACATATAACCATGTTAGGTGTACAAATACTGCGTGTGAACCGATACAACACTATGTTAAGCAAATATGCTACCACGTTCACTGCAAAGTGACCTGTGCTATTTTGAAACATTGTACTCTAAATACAGTAGCAGACGATAACTTCGTGCTGCCATTATGGTCGAACAAAAATAGTTAGCACTAACAAGCTCAAAGCTGCATATTCATTGTACTTCCATTGTAATTAATTGCATTGCCATTGCATATCCATTCCATTCACTGCATATCCATTGTTATTGCATATCCATTGAACCCTTGCCACTGTACTTTGTCCTTACTGTTATATTCACTCAAGCGATAGACAGCATGTGTAAATAAAATAAGGTACTAGTAAAGTATTCCGCTAACAAGCAAGAATTTATTGTACATTAGTAGGCCAATTAGCAATTTACCAGGATGATGATGATGTGTGGCGCTTTATGGCGCAAGAGCCAATTGATGGCCAAAGAGCGCCATTTCGAGCGCTCTTTGGCCAACATGAACAATATCATTGTTCATTTCATATGAACAATGATATTGTAAATGATGAGTGGCTGTAAAGGGGCCTTAAAATTCCTCACGCTAATGAGGGTAAAAACTTGATAATAAAATCATGACAGTGGCGTGAAATATGTGCAGTAATATTGAATGTCAAAAGGTCATGATAATAAGACTATGGCGGAGATGTAGTCACCACAGGTCCTAATACAGATCACCTTGAAATATGCAGTGAAAACTGCGTACATCATTTAAAAACGTAAACAATGAGTGAATTTTAAAAATCGGATCCCTACCGATAAGCATCCCAGGCTGTAGTGGGAGCTGCTGTTGGTAGGGCAGTAAAAAGTGCTTTTTCCTTAGAGCGTCCAACTCATTGCACTGGACGAGGATGTGGTGAACCGTAAGTGGTTCTCCACATCTCGCACACAATGGTGGATCACTGGCAGACAGAATATATGAGTGTAGAGTATGTATGCCCTGTTCTTAGCCTTGTGAGTGTCACTTCTGTATGTCGCGATTTTGATAGGGGCGGCCAATGACCAAGTTGTGGCTTAATAACATGTAGTTTATTACTTGTGTGTCTATCCCACAAGTTTTGCCAATAACCTCCGAGTTTTTGTTTCAGGAACGGTTTCATGTCAAGTGCAGGGATCGGTATTGATGCATATTGAGCGGCATCGTTGCTGGCAGATAAAACGAGCTAATCTGCCAAAACATTTCCCTGTATCTCACGGTGCCCCGGCACCCAGCAGACTACAACATGCTGTTTGGATGAGTAGACTGTGCATAAGAGTGAATAAAGGGACTCAAGAACTGGGCTTTTGCGTTTTGTAAGTGTTTTCACTGCGAAAACACTCAAGAGGCAACAGATTTTTTTTCACAAAGCACTGTCATCAACAAGGCAATTCTAAAAGAAAGTGACGATTCTTCTAACTTTACATAAGACAGCTTATTGAGATAGACTAGGCCAAAACATATACTATGAATATCTTTTAAACTGAAGACAAATGACATTGCATAATTTCATTGCCATGCTGGCCAACATCCACAAGTCCACGGTGGAGTCCAGGCACTGCAGACTTGCTTGGTCTGAAAGAAGCCTTACAAGATTTGCGACAATGCCACCACACATATTTTGTTTCAATCAGTAAGAGCTTACACTTCAAGTCAAAGTCTATAAAAATGCCAAGATACCGTATTTACTCACATAATAGGCACACTTTTCTTTCAGAGAATCCGGCTCGAAGTTAGGGGTGCTCCCATTATGCGGGGCAAAACTTCCGAAAACTTTTTCTACTCAGTTCTCACGCTTCAGATCTACACATTTGTCAAGTAAATAGCGACTATCCTTTACCAATTATTTCAGCATAAAAGAAACATACCTACGTACATTTTAACAAACAACCGAGAGGCGTCAACTGCACACACCACGTAAAACTTGTTCACACAAAAGTCGTAAGTGTTCCTCTTTTATTTATTCGGAGTTTGAGTCTGAGAGCACACATTCATCTTCCCCAAGCGAGCATTCGCTTTCGGTGTCCAAATCATCTGCACCCCACAACATGTCATCCTCACTCGTATCCAGTGCATTCGAGATACCAGTCTTCTTGAAGCTTTTCCCAACGATTTCGTCAAAGATCGCCTGCCACGGCTCGACGATCCACGTGTACAGCATTTCCACAGGCAGCCTCTTAATCTTATCACCTGGAGTCAGCTGATGTCCTCCCCCAGCCATCCAGATGGTGTACAGCCTTCGAACATTGTGCTTGATAAGCTTATTCAAAGACGCGTTTAAAAGCTGCAGTATCGATGTGAGGCCGCCCGGAATTACTGCCAGATCTGTGCGCAGCTCTTTTAGCTCATCTCGTACGCGGTCTACTAGGTGCCCATAAAAACTGTCCAGGACAAGCATAAACGGGAACAACAGACCACCTGGCCACAGACCCCAGACTGTTTTCACCCAATCCACGATGAGTTTCGCGCTCATCCAGCCTTTTTCCTGGGCTTTGACGTAGATGCCTCGAGAGAAATTTGCCTTTGGGAGTGTCTTACATTTAAAAATGACGTAAGGCAATAACTTGCGCCTATCCGCTGTCACCACCAACATTACGGTGCATCGTTGTTTATCAGCACCAGACGTTCTGGCGATGACACTCCAGGCACCTTTTTCCTCCACTGTCGTGTTTCGCGGCATATCAAAGCAAAGGGGGGTCTGATTAGCGTTGCCAATCTGGGACGAAATGGAGTCTTCCTGCTGTCACAGCTTTATAATGAAACGGTGGAAGTCCACCACTTTGTCCTCGTATGCTGCGGGCAAGCGCTGGAACAAGATGGTCCACCTTCGCAGTGCGAGGCCATGTCGCCGCATGAAACGAGTTGTCCATCTGGAGCTGACTTTGAGCTCTTTTGCTTCGATGCGCTGCACTCTGGCTATTCTGTGCGCCACAGTCTGCACAATATCCAATGACACAGCACAGCCATCTTGTAATAGCTACCGTATATGTTGGACCAGTTGCTCTTCGACGTTCGTATACCTAGCTGTCTTGGCACCGGGGAGAGCCCGTCGTGTCTTCTTCGTCGCCTTAACTTTTTCTTCTTGATCCCTCCAGTTTCGAATACTGATTTCTCCAACATCGAAATGCCTGCTTGCAGCCCGGTTGCCGTGCTCCAGTGCGTACTGCACTGCCTTCAGTTTAAATCCAGTCGTGTAGCTTGCTTATTTCCCCATGGTGCAACCAAAGTTGAATACACGCTTACAAAATGGCTTTTCTTTTTCTCTGATGGTGGTGATGGCGATCGAGCCCCCGGCGTTGCACACGTGACCTCCAAGGAGCGCGGCGATTTGGGGGTATCAGTAATTGATGGAACAACGGGTTTTTTTTCGCGCTCATGGACGCTTTCTTTTTTTTTTTCAAGTTTATTTTGACAAACACGCTGGCTGGGTTGTAGCACTTCGAACTTTTTTTTATTTGCTCGTCCATTTGCTTTCTTTTTTTTCTTCAGGGTACGGGGACCGCGTTCCAACTGTACCGCTGGGGGGGGGGGGGGGTAGAATCGTTGCGATCACGGCCAAGTTGCTGTGCGCCTCTTATGAGCTAAATTTTAAAAAATCGAATTTTCCGCGACCAAACTAGGGGTGTGCCTATTATGCGAGTGCGCCGATTATGCAAGTAAATACGGCATCAGGCTTGAGATGCATGCGGCTTACCTCTTCTGCAGAAGCAACAAGCTTGGACAAGTCGAAACTGAAATGCAAAAGGAAACATGAATTTCGAGAAAGAACCCAGGCGTCATTGGGCTGTGGTGAATATAAAACGATTGGTATAACCTCATAGCAACAGACCTCCATTGTGAAGAGGATTTCGGTCTGTTGTAAAAGGAGTAGGTAAAATCTAAGTACTGTTACAACAGACTCTTATGTAAACAGTGAATGGGGGTATGTTGTCACCAGAGAGTCATAGATGAATTTATTCTCAATAGGGGCATACGTAACTTTTTTGACAATCGGGCTTTTTTTGTTTATCCTTTTGCAAACACACTTAACCGCTCATTACACTCCTCCATGACCATGATCATTGTGAGGCACAATGTGTGCGGCATTTCAAAAACACTGCGATAAAACCAAGCCAAGCAAGTGTCTAACCGCTAATATGTAACTAATAATTGTGAAAGGCTTCAGTGCATCGTCAGGCTGAACCCACTGCTAAACAACAGGGCAGCACGTTTCAACTTTCACCGGTAAACCATTTGTACAGAATGCTTTGGCAGCGATTTTTCTTGGATGGTTATGTGGGGTTTAACGTGCCAAAACCACAATATAATATGAGAGACGCCGTAGTAGAGAGCTCCGGAAATTTCAACCACCGTTCTTCAAGGTGCAGTGATTTTTCTCACAAAAGTCACAAGAAAAAAAAGTGATTTTTCTTGCTTGTAGGTAGCTGAACATTGTGGTCTGGCAAAGCACTGTTACAAACCCAAGCACACCAACCAACAAAAAATCTGGCAAAGTATGTCTACTGACCCTTTACTCTTGACCTTGCCCTTGCCAGGTATCTCTCTGGATGGCCTTTTTTTTCCGACGCTGAACTCGTCATCTGCACAAAAAAAAGTGCCCCATGACACATCTTTGACTGATGTCGTGACATACGCTTCCACGATATGAGGCATGATTCCGTACAGAACGTCTGTTCTATAACTGAGGCAAGTTCTAGTTACAACAGAATGTCCGTTCTTGCTGCATGCATGTGGTCGAGGCTCCAACGTACAGCAGAATCTTGTTGACCCGATTCTACATTGTACACTTTTATGTGCATTTCCAGACGTCACTTGGAAATAATGAATTTCGTGCGGCTAATACGGTCATAGTGAAGATGAATGGGGGTGGAGCAGCTTGAAGGTTCCGCGTAGGTGCAGTGCTTCAAAAGCATTTTAAGTGATTTAATGTTAGTCATTATGAATCCTTATTTTTGTCGATTACACTCAAACTTCAATACAGGTGAACCCCTTTATAAGAGACACTGATATAAAAGACAAATGGGTATAGAGACAAATGGGTAAAGAGACAAATGGGTAGTGTTCCTACAGTAAAATACGGGTTGATAAGAAAATGCATGCGGGGTACCCTGCTTATAAGAGACATCTCATAAAAAAGACAAGAATTGCTAGCCGGAGCATGCCTCTTATAAAGAGGTTTAACTGTATAACAAACATGCATGTAATGAAATATCAGTTATAGCAAAGCAAATAAAAATACGCTCAAACCTCATTATAACATCGCTAACAATCAATCAGCTTACCCTCATCTGAAAATTCAATGTCTTCCTCTTGAATCTCCGAGCCGCCTTTGCCAACGGGCAGCCCCTTGAGGGCCTGCCGGTATTCCTCGTCATCTTCAAGCCCCTCGAGGTCGTCCTCATCTTCGTCATCCGAGTCCTCGTCACCAGAGTCATCAGACTCCGCCTTGCCCTTTTTGCGCTTCTGAATGGAAGATACAGAGCGCGATTCCTTACCCGAGAGAAAACAGAATCTTTCCTCTTTGAAACACCCTCCATATTTACTTTACAAGTTGGTCTGCGTAGAACCTGGTTATCTAGGGTTACCAGTTTCTTTTATTTCCCCGAGGAAATTCAAGCCAGCAGGCTCTCCAAAACTATATAATGACATTTCTGTAGCTTTTACACTGTTGTGAGAAACAACAAAGCTCATAAGCATAACAAAGAATGCCTGATCTAACGCATTTTTACTGTGCTTACCAGACATTAGCATGCAGCTTTTTTTTTTTTTGATGAGTTCAGAAATCTTGTTTGACAAAGTTGTATTTCATGAGGCAAAATGAGAAGAGCAATGTTCCCCTATTAACCCTTCATATGAAAGCACCTCTAGTGCATGTACGCCAAGGATACTTTCAGCATTAAACATTCACTGGAATGTGCCTGTCGTGGCTCGAATTCGATCCTAGGACCCGCAGGTCCTTATTTAAAAACAAACTTGTCTAAGAACAAGAGCCATTATATAATACGACTATTTACATATAACACAAATAAAATTTTACACAAGAAGTGCTGCTTCAACAACGGGACTCGTTTTGCCGGAGAAGCAGCTGCCGTTTCTCTGACATTTGCTGCTCTGACCTCTAGCTCTAAAAACTGTTGACAGACCTGTTCCTGCTCTGGCAAGGACAAGTTTCTTTGTCGAAATATTTTCAAAAGCATCATTCCTTTTTTGACAACTTCCCATAATTTCAAGCCCCCAGTTTTGCCCGACAGTCCATCTTGTCTAGACTGATGACAGTATTGTGATTAATAGGTTCAGCACAGAAAAATATGGGAAAGTAGGTCTTTTTGCACACACTAAGCTTCTACACGAGGCCACATCCCAACTGACCTTGCCTTTGGAGAAGGCCGAGGCAAAGTCCAGCTCCCCATCAACGCCGGGTTCAAACATGTCCAGGACCCGGTCGACGTCATCGCTGGCCACGCTCTCAGCGTCGGATGAGAGTTCGTCGTCGTTTGCATCCTTCTTCTTCTTGTCTTCATCCTTGCCTTTTTCAGCCTTTCGCCGCTCCCGCTCCTGCTTGAAGTACCTGGTGGCCGAAAAAGCAACGTGCCGAAACTGTTTGTTTACTTCACAAGACCACATATTTGGCCCTCACACAACGTTGTCAATTTGTTGGGAGGACCATTTCAGGGTTTTCTTTTTAATGTGATAGCAAATAGATGTCCCGTCAGTGTATTTTCACGTCTGCCATTGGCACTGCTGCGCGTGTGCGTGTCTGTATTAACCCAGAGAGAAAAAGAGTAGCAGAAGATTTTTCAGATGTGTTTCGCCATAAATTCGAACCTACGAAACCCCGCTGCATAGCCTGATGCGATAGACGCCGCGACTACAACGCATACATGCTCCATCATACACTCAGACCTCATTATAACGAAGTTACATCTTACATAAAAATAACTTCTTTATGACCGAAAATTTGTTGTAAAGGTGTATACTTAACACTATATCTACTGCAAGACTATTCTTAATTTACTCAATTATAATCAATATTTAATTATATCTGGGTTCGTTATACAACAGCTAGAGTGTACTAACGGCGAGCCATTTTTTATGCACCACATACCAATGGTGGTTCGAAAAGCTCTGAAGTGCTTCACTATGGCAGAGGCCTGTTGGCCACCTCCCTTGAAATTGTGCAAAGAGTGCACTTTAGACGTCATCACCCCACTCTTCTTTCGCCAAACTTAAGATCCACATCTATGCCCCGTTACATTGATCTACAGGGTGTGGTCACCTGCGCTGAAATGCTTACCACTTGAAAAGAAAGGTTTTTTTCACCGAAAAGTGTGCACTGATGCCATAGATGGCAGGACAGTCCCTTCGCACGCTGCAGTGACCACTCTTGCAAAACGAGTGAGCCGTCAGCCTTTTTGTAATGTGAGATTTCAATGTGTAATCATATTAGTTACTTAAAACTTGCACCAAAACTGTGGTTATTGTTTTCAAAACATTTCCTAACAGTGCCTTCTGACTATTTGTGGTGACAGTATAAAAGCAACTGAGATACAGACTGACAAGCAATCAACCCAAACAGACGTCACGTGTTTTCCGGATATAGCTCTTGCAGATGCCATTTTGCGGAGCACCTTCCCCAACCTATCCAAGAAACACCTTGTCAAGGCAAGGATGCCAGTCACTCACCTATACAAGAATGTCTCCTCCGGTGGAATGTTGGCCTCGACCTGCTGCTGGTACTGTTGGCTGAGCACATCCATCTTACGAACTCCCTTCGGCGTGTACTGTCTCCGCCTGCCGAAGACACTAGCAGCCTGGTCCTCCATGACGGGCTGATGGGCGCCAGGTGCCTTGGGATTTCGATATACAAACCTGCCATATGGAACGAGAGAGATTGAAAATGCCAGTTGCACGAAACGAGAGAGACTTCGCGTTAACAAATCAAAGCAGAATTGCAAGCAGTAGCGGCCTCGGCTAAAAAGAGAACTTTTCAACACACCAAACCCAGGACCATAGAACGGCAAACTCACTCGGAAGTCCACCAACTCTGACTCTGATCAAGCCACGAGCTTGCGTCACAGTGAGTCCAGGTTAGTTAATACTTTGGAGAATTTGAGTCCACTTGAGTCCAGCTGAGAAAATGTTTATTAGCAATTCTTCCAAGTGGGTCCAGTTAAGAAAAATTTTGGCGAGTCTTAGCCTGAGTGAACCCTATGGGGAACACACATGCATTTTTTCAATGAGTCCGAGTGAACTGCTGTTTTTGCTGACCCATACACAGGAAAGTTCTCTTTAAATTTTATTTTTTGCCCGATAATGAAGTAAAAAGGGTAACCAACATCAAAAAATGTTGTCGAGAACTCATTCCACTATTTTTATTTCACGACTGGTGAAGAATTCCGCAAACCTCATTTGCAATATTCTTAAAGTTTGTGCTTCGAGCTGTTGACTTACCTATTCATCCTCGCTCTGCCAATCAGCTAGCGTGGTGGTTAGCTCAACTGGTAGACTGGCCACCCAGAAAAAGCACCGGTTTCAGGTTTGAGCCCCGGATTGACACAAACTTTTTGGCAACTAGAAGCTTTGAGTCTTGTGAAATCGGTAGGGATTTCCTCGTGCCTGCATGCTACAAACTGATCCTTGTCGATTCAATAGTGTAAAAAATTACTAAAAAGCAGTGTTGGGCTTGTAATCTAGTTTGCAGAAAATATAATGACTGGCTTTGGAAGCAAGACAATGGTTTTCAAAGAGAAGGAGTAAAAGGCAGCAATGAACTAGATGAAGTGAGGGATTCAGACCGTTGACAGCTACGGCAACATGTTAATAGGTCATTTTATGTCGTTCCCCTTTGCTGTTGTGCTAATCAGAAAGATTATGCTCTGTTTTGTGGGAATCGAGAGTGCCCTCCTACCTGGCACCTCGTTCCCCAGCTGCCCCGCGCGTGCCGACCGCGTATAATCACCGGCATTCGCCAAGATGGCTGCCAGGGCGCCTCTTGGTCTGGGCGAGTCAAGCCTCGGCTCCGTACCCTGCTGGCATGTCCGGGCACGCTACGCTGCGCGGGCCTACGTCACAACGCAGCGCCATTTCCCTTTGGGCGAGCGTGACATCCTCCTCTCCTACGAGCTGTGTTGCGCCCGACGGTTCGCTCGTCGGGGCAGATGCTCTCAGGCCTTCACGAGGGTTGACGCGCTGCTAAGCAGGCGGCTTCTCGTTCGTGCGTTCGACTTCGGCCCTTGTGTGGCAGTCGTCGCGCCCTAGGCAAGCGTACTTGCTCGGTCTTGCGGAGTTCCTTATACGGCCTGCAAGCCCGTGAGTGTCGCACTGTGCTGCATCTTGGGTTAATAAACCCGTTGTTGTTATCCTGCCTCGTGCGTGGTTTCTGCGCCGTGCCGGAGAAATCGACGAACCCAGCCACAGAGTCTTCGCACGCCGCGGCAGTGGAGGATGTCGCATCCTTGCACGGTTACGCTTAGTAGGTAAGCCTTGTGCAAACCTATCTCCACAGTTTTAAATATGAAAATTAGATTAATTACATAATAAAGGTCCGACTTACTGTGTTAAGATAATGTTATGACACAGACTTGATGACACAGTACCACTGTCATAGCTCAAGGTCTCCCAAGGAGCTCATGACTAAATTATCATAATGAAAGCCACTGCACCTGGTTACAATCCCGACAGCAGTAATGATAAAGGCCTTGGTTTAACAATACATATAGCAGATTATATCATAAAAGTGAATGCCCAGAGCCTCGGAGACATTCAGAGTGCACACTGCCACTCACCTGTCGAGAAAGCGTGACAGGGTGAAATCTTGCAGCGGGTCGCCGGGATAAGCGACGGGCTGCCCTCGCAGGATGCGCTCGGCGAACAGTGCTACGGATGGGTGGTAGTGACGGCTGAGGTGACGCAGCTCCCATGCAGGGCAGAACTCAGCACCACAATAAAGTGGGTTGCGAGCCAGTGGGTCATACCTGCAAAAAATAAAAAATAAATGGGGAAGTTATTCAAGAGAAACCAGAGTCTTCATGAAATGAGGTAGACATGAACTCTAGCGCACATGTTCGACTCCTACTGCTGCAGCATGGGACCTTCAAGAACAGCCTTTGAAGCTTTGGCCATTATGAGAGTACACTAGAAGAAGAATCCTTTACTTTCCGATGAAATTACTAGCAAAACATTTGTGTGAAAACATCTAGATCCCCAGTTGATATGGCTAGTTTTAAGGATTTGTTAGAGACATGGCATGATAAATTAGCGAGTAAAATCTTTACACAAAGAATTTCATCACAGATCACAAAATCAAATACGGTCACGTAGGGTAATGACCCAAATATTGTGACATGTACATACATTTCCAGAATATTAATGTGGCAACTGGTAACTGTCCGATATAGAGAGTTTCCTGAGCGACTGCACCATATCTGGCAGACATTTTATTAGGGTAAAGATGCTGTTCCAAATTTTAGCAGCAACAAAGGGTATTGTTGGACAGTCGTAGACATTGTGGACTATTTGCAGACTTGCAGATTAAGGTTTTATTGTATGGTCTGCTGAGTGCGAGCTCTAGGTTTTAATAAAATTGATGTGTGAAAGGGTACGTTCTTATTCATTATTTTGTGTACGAATACAGTAAACCCTCGTTAAGTCAAACTCGCATATCTCAAAATCTCGGTTAAGTCGAAACTTTTTTTTCGCCATGCATTAACCCACCATAGGTGCTATGTATTTGCCCCCTCTTATCTCGAAACCTTGACCGGGAGGGGAGAAGGCAAAGTCCACTCCCAACAGGAAACGCGCTTGCACAGCGCGTTTAGTAAGAGCTAAACGCGCTGTGCAAGCGTTTAGCTCTTACTATACATGCTGAACGTGGTCGTGAAGGGTGAATTTGAAATTCGTGCAGTTGTAGCCGTTTGCTATCTGCCTTGTCAAGCAATTATGGGAGTGATCATGTGAGTGCACCTGCACGCGACTGCTGCCCGGTGTGTAGCGCGCATGGCGTGCTGTCAGCACCGTCAGTACGTAAGCTAGCACTCGCATGTGCGAGGTGGCTGTCTGTGTTCCCTGCGATCTGCACGCGACGAATCTTCAGTGCATGGTCTGTGCAATGGACGCTTTCGAATATCAACGAGGATGTCTCGCCCAAAGCAGTGAAAATCACTAACGTTGGAGAGAAAAGTCACTTCAATCAAGAAAGTGGAAAAAGCATGTCGAAGCAAGACGTGCATCGCCGAAGATTTCAGCATCTCTTTGTCAACCCTCTTGATAGTGCTTAAGAACAAGCAAACGGTTTTGGAAGGCTTCGAGCAAAGTTTTTCGAGCAAGCGAAAGCGTGTTCAAGCTTCCAAGTTCCCGGACATCAAAGCAGCACTTCTGTTGTGGCTCCACAACGTTCAAGCAGCCAATCTTCCGGTGACAACCCACGTGATAATAGAAAAAGCAGATACTTTGCCACTGCAGATGGCTTACACGGACTTCAGCTGCAGCAATGGCTGGTTCGAGAGATTTAAAAACAGAAAACGCATCATTGAAGCCTATTCACGGCAAAAGTGGCATTGTCGACGAACAGGCTGCAGATGAATGGAGCAACCTACGCACCGCCGCGCTGCGAAAAGAGTACGCAGACAAGTACATTTTTAACCTCGACGAAGCTGCTCTCTTTTATAAGATGCTGCCTAACCGCACTTACACACCAAAAGGCAAAGCGTGCTCAGGCGCCAAGCAACACAAAGACAAAATTACCATGCTTTTTAGTGCCAATGCTACCGGCAATGAAAAGCTGCCCCTTCTCATCATTGGCAAGTCGCTGAATACCCGGTGTTTTCGCAATGCACGGCTGCCGAGAGATGTGACCTACCGCGCAAATAAGACGGCCTGAATGACGGCAGCGCTTTTCGAAGAGTATGTCTGTGCACTTGAGCGGAAGGTGGCTAAGGATGGTCGGAAAGTGTTGTTTGTTGTCGATAACTACCCCTGTCACAGAAAAATCGACAACTTGGCGGCTGTTACGCTGGAGCTCCTGCCGGCAAATACGAATGACGTCCATTCTACAGCCTATGGATCATGGAGTCATTCAGATAACCCAGAAATATTACAGGAAAAGCCTGCTGCACCATATTCTGCTATCATATGACAATGAGAAGAAGTACGAGATCGATCTCCTGGGTACAGTCAATCTGGTGGCCGAAGCCTGGTGCCAACTACACCCGCTGACGATTGCCAACTGCTTCGCTCATGCAGGGCTTTCTCGCGCTCCGGCATCGATCAATAAGACATTGGTGCTGAATTCAGCGGCTGTAATGCGCTGTGCAGTGCACAAGGCAACCGGCAGCGTGAGCGATACTGAAGACGCCGAGATTGCCTTTGAGGAGTACGCGCTCTATGAGGCGGACGTCCCCGTTACCGGTAGCTGTCGGACGCGGACATCGTTGAAATGGCCGTGAACAACGCAGATGACCACGCAGAAGAGGAAGAGCCCCGAGAAGTGCCTACGCCAATAGAAACGCGTAACATGCTGAGCTTGCTCCGCAACAAGGTCGAATGCAGCGGTGGCGACCAACGGCTCATGCGGTGTATTGAGCAACTGGAAAATGCCTTTCTCTGACCGAACGCGAACGCGAAACAGGCGAGCATCACACAGTTTTTTGGTCCTCGTTAATAAATTCTTTTTCCCTGCAAATTCTTGTGCCTTTACTACTGTAGCTCTCACGTGCAGAGGGGCTTTTCCTGACAATTTTTCTTCTGCAGTGACCGGGGCAAACATTTTCAGCATTTTTCTCAACTCAAAATACCACTTATCTCAAAATTTTCCAAGGATTTCACAGCTTCGAGTTAAAAAGGGATTACTGTATTGCGCTTTTCAATTGCCTAAACGTAATAAAAGGCATTATGTTGAGGTTTGTGAAAACTTCAGCAGATGGTGCATTCTTGGGTGCCGACGCAATTGTTTGTACAGCTCTTTTTTGTAAAATGGTTATGACCAAGCAATATGAGGCATATGTGTAGCTCCATGATTCGATGCAACAAGTTAGGTGACAATAGAAAACGTTGAAGTATAGAATACGGAGTATGCGTGCTCTAAAGTATTTTCTAGTCTTAAATATTGTAAAGCATGCAAAGCTTAGTTTTCTTCACAAATTGTCTATGTGCAGTGTTCAGTGAAATGAATGGCCCAATGTCACACCAAGGTAAGTACATGCATTTACTCTATCAATGGGAGTTTCACCGATGAACAGACCTTGTGTTTGAGGTATCACTTTTTGTTAGGGGCCAAAAATTATGTACTTGGTTTTTTTTTCTGTATTTAGTAATAGGTTGTTTTGTTTAAACCACTGAGAAGTCATTTGCAGCTCTTCATTGGCTAGTGAATCAGCTTCTGAAGGGAGTGACAAGCTATGAGTAAAGCAGTGTCATCTGCATACAGAGCTGCTTGCATACGGCTTAAGGAGAGAGGATAATCATTTATGAAGAGAGAGAACAAAATCGGTCCCATTACTGAACCGTGCAGCACGCTAGTTTCAATGATCTTCCTGTTTGATTTGTTACCAAGTATTTGTACATATCGAGTCCGTTCGGACAAACAACTACGGAAAAACTTTGAAGATATTCCTCAAAATCCATAGCGTTCAAGTTTGTTAAGAAATATATTGTGGTCCACCGAATCAAAAGCTTTTTCGATAGCAAGGAAGATGCCGAGGACGAATTGGTTATCGTTTAATGCATGGTTTACCGTTTCTGCCACAAAGCTTACCGCAGCAGCCGTACTGTGTTCTTTCTTAAAGCCATGTTGATGCGGAGTTAGGATATTGTATTTTTAATAAAGTTCATGATTCTTTTGACAACACGCTTCTCCAAAAAACAGTTCTCACATGATAGAATTGTTATAGGGTGGTACTTTGCAATGTTGTCAGAGCATTCGCCTTTGTGGACTGCTGTCACCCTCCCTATTTTAAGCTGCTCTGTGTACACACCTGTCATGAAGGACAGGTTGAAAACAACAGTGAGAGGCATGCTTAAGGTTTTGATATTATCCTTCAATATTTTAACTGGTACTCTATGATGTCACATGGCCTTGTGTGACAACGTCTCACGTACAACTGCAATAATTCAGCTTCAGTAATTCATGAAAAAAAAGGTATTCTAGAGAACAGCAGAGAATAGCAAGTAATGTTTTTCGTTTGTACTTGTTGCCAACTGCTTTCATATGGTTATGAAATAATCATTAAAAAGTACATGGTGCATGGAGTAGAAGACCATGCAACAATGAATGCTACAATGAAAAAAATTCGTGATAATTTTGAATGCGACTGGCAATCATGCCTTCAGGTTTCGAGAAAATTAAGTTGGACATTGTAGCAACGAATGGTCAGGCACTGAAGTTTACATTCCAAGATAAGAACAGGCACTTCTGCTTTGCTGTGCTGTGTTCTTGAGTAACAAAGTCCTCAAGATGGGAAGTAAGACCACAAGAAAGCTCTTAATTGAACTGGCAATGAAAGTTCTGCAAGTGACCAGTGCAGAAGCCTGATTTTATGATTGTCATTAGACAATTTCAAGAACCCTCTGCTTGCTAGGACTGTTCCAAAAATAATCCACATGTGCGTATATGCACCCTTTTTAACGGAGGGTTCCAGGGTGCCACCATAGTCTCCCCAAAGGCCATTGTAAATGAGCATGACCCCCAAAAAATGGACTGCTGAGACTGTGCCATCAGCCTTTATACTCCTGTCTTCAATCTTGCCATTCAAAAGGTCTACTTGAAAACAAGTAGACTAACTGCATAAAGGGAAGGTAAAATGCACAAAAACATTATCACTAGAAGGAACACTTACAACAGACGAGCGCAAATCTCCTATTGCTTCAGACTATATAATCGTTCTTTCCACAAAACATTTGAGATGATTGTAGAACCTGCACCCTAAAAAAAAAACACTGTTCCTACAAATTGAATCAAATCCTGAAGTGCTTTGCAGTACACCAGTCTTAAACGCCACTACTTACCCAGTCCTCCGCCGCCGCTCCACAGTTGGAGCTCCAGACTCATCTACAGTGGTCAACTTAGTGTGAACCCAGGAAGCTGCGCTTTGCTTCTCGCCGGTTGTTCCTGTCCAATTACTACTTGACCCAGGCTGTACCGGTTTTACTACACCTGACGGTTCCTCTTCATCCTGAACACAAAAAGAACAATTGACTAGGGATGTAAAAATAAATTTTAGGTTCATAGCAAATTTGAAATGAATAGCAACTTTCATAAATAACTTCAAATCGAATAGTTTGACTTTTGAAGATCACATTATCAAGGAAAATCAGCATTTTTCAGATGATGCAACTAACTTGTACAATATTTTTAAAAATTGAAACTACACATGAGCGAGTGTTCCTTTTTCGGTTTTACGTGCACGCAAATTTGAACAGTGGAAGAATTCACAAAACATCCATTCTTATTTTACTACATACCGTAGAACTTCACGTTGTAGCAGAATAATAATTGCATATTTGGAATCAGGACATAAAAGGAAACAAGCTGCAAACACTTCATAAAAATGAGTTCAAATGTAAAGAAATACTAATCTAAAGCAGGGTATTCTCTCAAATATGAGTGATAATTAATTAATGACGTGACTGAACATGTATTTAAGAAACTGTAACTTGATGCTACTCACGCTGTCATCCGGAGCATCGTCATAATGCTCGCCGTCACTGTCGCTGTCATCCATTTGCACCGCACGTTCTGGGGCTTCATCTTTGGGGCTGTCGTCAAACGTCCGTGCATCAAGGAGCATCGGCCGTAGCTTGACAACTTCAGACACGAGGAACAGGATGCCGCAAGCCAGATGCGGAGAACGGTACAGACACGCCTGCAGTCAAAACATGAAAACGATGCTTGCCATAGGGTACTAGTTTGATGAGTTAATCACGTTAATGCCACAGACAGTAAAAAAACAAATATTGTGCTTACTTCCATAATGCCTCCATTACAAAACTGTGGTATCATAATTAAATTTTTTTTTCTTCCTGAGTAACGACTGCACACTGAACTTACAGCAGAGTCACGCCCCATCATTATTATTTGTACAGGGACATTGTGGCATAGGCACACCTGTTTCAATACTGACACATACGCATGCTTGGTTGGTTTATAATGTCGAATATCTCAAGCAACCCAGGCTATAAGGGTGACACAGGAATGCAAATGCCATATAATTTTGACCACGTATAGCTCTTTAATGTACAGTTGATCCCGGGTATACCAAACTCGTATATACATATATCTAATTATTTGCTATATCTAACAGTTGATAAATCCCCTTGAATTTCCCATGCAAAAGTATGGGACTGTTGCACATGTAGATTCAACTCTCACAAAGTGTAACATTCAACATATTGAACGATGCACCGGGCCAGAGCCCAGAAAGTGCACTTACTCTGACAAAGATTGAACATTTTTTGGATGCATTCTAACAAGTATCGATCTCTCCACGAATGCAGGTAATGAAAAGGCAATGTAATTCATGGCTCGCAAGGCTTTTGCAGGTGCACCGGCACGTGATGTGCGATTTGTTGTAGGTTGTAATACGTGGACACAGTGTTTCCAAAAAGGCCGATCGCCGAGGGCACTAAAACCACATGAATGAGAAGCGACTCAGCGGCCTCATCGCAATGTGCATATTCCCGTTCTTGTTTGCTCACGCATGATGGCACATGGGCCCGAAATGCATAGCCTTTGAGATCAGCAACCTAGTGACATATTTTTAGCTTTTTCAATTATAAAATACACATCTCCAAGGCTACGCTTTTTCATGTTTTTCACTTGCTGCTGCAAAGCCGCTAGTGTCATTGCCACCGCCAAGATATGAATGGTCGGTACATGGTCCTTTTGTTTATTGTTTGTGGATAGTGTTGTCACTTTCGGCTTGTACTAGTTTTGCCTTCGTTGTGGCTGAATCTTCCATCGGAAGCCGAACTTACCATTGCACCCCTCGTAGCAATAAAAATGATTAATGGTGAAGGAACGATGTCAAAGCAAGGCACCGCCGTGCACAGTTTCCACATGGGCTTTGGTGTTGGACCACGACTTCGTGTGCCTAATCTTAGCTGACAACAACATACGATGCCTCAATCAATTTCACTACGTATTAGCATTTCCAAGCGTCACGTCAGGCGGGAGTACAGAAAGAGACTTCATCAGTGCAGATGACGTCTCCGTTTATGACTGCATCGATGCAAAACACTGCAAAAATGGTCTTGCTTCTGCGTGCAGCAATTTGAGGAAACACAAGTACAAATGCTATTGCACGTCTTACTTGCTCAGAAAAGAGAACGCAAACAAGTGTTTCGGAACCAGTAGCAGGAGCACATCCTGAAAACGTGATCATATTGAAAAAATAACAAGGAGCATCGTTAAAGGCTTATTTTTTTTTTTCCTTCAGCATTCCAAGTTCCTTTCTGTGTGCAACAAGGGACACAGCAATACGTCAGCATTGGGGTTATCAGCCAATACATGCCTCACGTCAATACGTATATGTAAACACAGGCGGACTGTACATACCGTGCCATGTTCGAGCCTCTAACAAGGCGGTATGCACACGATGGCCGCCAGACGACAGCAATTTTGCATAAAGTCTATAGAAAGGGAAATACAAAAGCACCTGTGCTTATATCTACATACAAATTAAAAATGGAGCATCAAAATTAATCCAAACTGCCTTGCTATGGTGTCTGTCAATATCATATTAAATTATTTGTAAGTAGAACCTCCAAATTTAAGTATTTATCAATATCCTTCATTAGAATTCCATAATTAAGGTGATGAAGCGGTGGTTACCTGAAGTAGTCGTTTCAGGAACGCTTTGACTCTATTGTTCTCCGTGTCCCTCTTGAGAGACTTGTAGAGAAGGTTGAGAAACATGGTCTGGTGGCTGGAGTGCTCTAAAGCGGGGTCCAGTGCCTTACGGTAGAGCGCACCGTAGAAGCGATCCGACAGCGAACTCTTGGCATCCAGGATCTGGCCACAAGAAAGAGAACCGAAAAAAGGTTACGCTGTTCTTAAAACTCCTCATGTACAATATTTCCTCACTTACAATTTCCTTCTACATATGCACACGCCAAACAAGAAAACACACAGAAATAAAAATAAAATATAAAAAAGCCCGAAGTATTGACGTGAAGCCACATTTTTTCCATTAACCTGAGGCAGTGTGGCAGAGTCAATTTGCACATCAAAATTTGTGTATAGCCTAGGGCTCCAAATTTTGTATATAGCTAATATACCGTAAAATCTTGAGCAAGCACAAGCCCAGGCCTTCTTTGGGAGATGCCAAATATGCAGCCTCTTTTCCCCTCCCACGATTTTCACTGTTTTATTGATCGTCTTTACTTGCCCAACCAGGGCGAATTAAGACAGTGAATGCATACATATTCAATAAAGCATCTTCACTAAAAGCACTGGCTGCGCAATTATTCATTCTAAGCGTCTATCCTTCAATCATAATGAATTTCGAGCCATGGCCAAGCAACAGTTCCTCCTCCAAATCTTTCGATTTATGCTTCACCAAGGCAGGGGGGGGGGGGGGGGGGGGGTAAGCACTTGCTCGGGATATTATAGTACAATACACTTCTCAGAAAATTATGCAAAAATCTTTTGAGGGATGGGCAAAATATGCCGCAATGCAAAAAAAAAAAGTCACGGTTTCACCGCTATGGTGTAGTAAAGAACGAGATAGTAACGATTCGGAATGTTAGACAAAGTAGGACTGACAGCTAACTTAATAGAAAATCGAGCCATTGCAGCGGGAAATCATTGCGGAGCTGCCTGCGGCTTCAATGCAATCTTCGCTATGAGAACACAACATGCACAAAGCTAAGAGCCATCTACCGATTGTCTCTAGTATACACAGTAGCCTCTCATTAAAAACAAAAGCTGAAGGGACCCGGTAAAACACGTTTCCTTCAACAGGAGTTCCATTTACCGAGAGATGACCAGAGGTGCAGAATGCAAGAACGAAACCAACCTTGCGAGAAGCACTCGTTACATTCGAAGCAGCAGTTCCATTTAACAGATTTCCGTTTACTGAAAGTCTCTGTATATGGGTTACGTATGGCACGTTCACCTACTACACACTATGCCTGGGTAGTCAAAGTGGCATTTAATGTTAGAGCTGTGCAGCCCTCCAGCTTCTATTTCTATGCACTTTTTGTTGGACGAAAAATGGCTGGGGTGTTCCCTCTGTGCCTGAGCATCAATTGCCAGCCACTGTTGTAGGTTCCACACGCACACAGAGGTTCCACACGCACACAGATCATAACACGCACTGGGAAATATTATCGATTTGGAGTTTATACAGAAAAACGCAGCCAAACCAATGGAGACGCCAGTACAAGAAGCACGTAGCAAAATACACCTCAAGCGCCCGTATCATGGCTATCGCAATAAATAAAAAAAAAAAGAAAGTGCTACATCAAAGTGGCACAATGCAGTTCCTGCTCCTGCTGCCACGACGTCAGTCAGATTCCGTGAGGTGGAGAAAGCTCTGAGTGCAATCATTCCCGAGACGGCAGAGTATCAAAGTTAAGAGAGGATCCATTACGTGGAAAAAAAGCAATGAATATTTTGACTACTGAAGTTGCAGTTGCGTTCACTATACAGTTCAACGCCTTATTTTTTGAACCGCTTCAATGTAGCCACAATCTTATACAGTCGAACCCGGGTATATCGAACTCGCCAAAAAACGTTTATTAGTTCGATATATGGCATAATTCGACATAGGCCCGGTACAGGATTTCACACAAAGGCACATAATAAATTATAAGAAAAGTAGTTTATCAATATGGGGGCTTACTTGCGACCCCTACTCTGGTACAAAATAGTCCCGGATTTTCTTCTGGGTCAACGACTTCGCTGCCTGCCACAGCACGCACGACTCCACGTTCTCCAACGAGTCGGAGCAGCTAAGGCCACAACCTTCCACATTCACACAATAGCGCTGGACCAACGCAAGTGCACTAATCACTTCGGAGGATGTAGACAATGCGCCATCAATTTCCTTATTGCTGTCGCTTTGGCTCGTGGTGAGCACGACATCTGCAATGTAGTCCTGATTTTACAGCTGACCAGTGATGGTGACATAATCGTCCGCACTGACGAACTCGTCGAATATCGATCCCTCGACAGCACCCGCGAACTCTGCCAGCTCGTTTTGAACTTCGGCGGAAACACCTGCGGTGACTTCAGCGCTGTGGTCGGAATTTGGGGTGCATGCCTAAAGCAGTTCTGGATGGTCTCCTTCGTGACATCTGCCCACGATCTACTCAACATTGAAATAGCTCCAAGCAAGTCGATCTTAAGCTCCCTGCCGACATGAAGGTTCTACAGCAGCCTCTCCACGAGGCGCTTCCGATAGCCGGCTTTCATTGCGCGTATACTAACGCCTTGATCCAGTGGTTGCAGTACAGACGTAGTGTTCGGGGGCAAAAAACGCAGATCGATGTTGCTGAAGGTCGTACTGCAGTGGTACGACCTTCAGCAACATGAACAATTGTCCACGAGCAGGAACACCTTGCGATTTTCGCCTACGAAATCATCATTCCACGACGATAGCCACCTGCGAAAAGCTGCCCGGTCATCCATGCTTTTAAGTTTGTTCATTAGGTAACTGGAAGCGACAGCGCATTTCGAAAACACCGCGGTGCCATGCTTTTCCCGATAATCAGAGGTCGAAGCTTATTCAATCTGTCTATATTAGCTGCCAACAGCACGGACACATGAGCTTTGTTTGCCTTGCCGCCGCAGGTCTTGTCACCACGACACGCAAGTGTCTTGTTTGGCAACATTTGCCAAAATAGAGCGGTTTCATCCGCATTGAAGATATCTTGGGCTTGATATCTTGCTGTGATATCTCGCCAATTTTCCTCGAGCCATTTGTCTATGCTGTCCAGATCCGCCGCTCTGCTTTCACCTGTAACAGCTTTGCCAACGATGTCATGCCGTTCTTTGAACCGTTGGAGCCAGCCTGAAGCGCCTTGGAAATCGTTCCTGCCAAGCAGGAAAGCAAGGTCCTTGGCTTTCTGCTTGATCATAGGGCCCGACACCGGGATGTTTCGCGACCGAACGTCCACAAACCACTTGTAAACGGCTGCTTCAACATCTTCGTACACAGCAGTGCGCACACGTCCGGCGCCATGGGCACCTGGCCTTTTGTATGACTTGGCCCTGATGTCTGCCTTGTTCTTCAGGATAGTACTCAAGGTGCTCCTAGGAATTTTGTACGTGGCGGCGACGTCGGACTTCTTTTCACCGCGCTCGACCCGATTTATGATTTCGAGTTTCGTGGCGAATGGCAAATTCTGCCCCTTTGAGCAAGCCATGACGACAGCGATCAACACAGTTCACAGAGCAACAGGCAACACCACCAGCACAGACTACATTGAATGAAGACTCGAGGAAAACAGGCAGCTGCAGGCACTCAAGCATAAAGAAAGAAAAATTGGCGCTCACTTCTACCGCCTCCGCACCTCAGAGAAAGCATGACGGCCTCTGATTGGCTGTGAGCACTGCAAGCGGGCCAGGATTATTTCTTGCAGGGGGGTGTTCGCCCGTGCACAACCGGGTCTAACCAACTTTTTCTAGAGTGGCGCCGGCAGTTTTCCCCGCCACCGCGAGGGAAAGCCAACTTGCTGGGGCACTTTTGAAGCACATGGAGTTCGATATATCAGTTGTCGTTGCTATTTTCATTCGATAAAACAGTAACTTTTGCTATATATTTTCAATGTAAGTTTACCTTGTTTGGGAATGGTCCGATTTACGGGATAATTGATATAAACGGGTTCGATATAGTCGGGCTCGACTGTACAGCATCTTGTATAAGAAGGCTTAACTGTACTTGTGCATATACTATGTGCTGTTTAAATTCAACAGAAGTTATTGTTCACCAACCTGGAAAAGCAGGGTGAGTGCCTGTACTGCAATGTTGAAGTCGGTAAGGTGGACGAGACGAAACATGAGGTCTGTCTGATCGTCCGGCAGTCCCTCAGCGTCACTAGCTCGGGCATAGGGGAATGCCCGATTGACGCCCGTCAGCAGCACCTTCATTGTTCGGGCGTCGGCTACCTTGGAGCGCTGCACGCACTTTTTGAAGAAGGTGAAGTAGAAGACACCAGGGAGCGGGCCAGTGACACATCGTTGTCCGACAATAGGAGCTGGAGAGACAACAAAACGAAAACAGGTATGAAAGCAGAAAGCTGATACTGTATCTTTCTACGTACAAGCTGCACAACTAATAGCAACACCACAGCAAAATAAAAACGTACTCACAGGTACAGAAGAACGCGATAAGCATCTTAGTTGTTACTTTCGCTGTGTCTGAAAAGCACACCCTTTTCGTAAACGGAGACTGTGCAATGATTGCACCGACATTTGTGCGCCCAGTCACTAAGACAAGATCGTTCCGGTGAAAGTATAAAGCCAGCCAAGGCGTACGATCCTCCTAAACGTGAGATAATATCCCGCGAGTGAGCGTCCACCTCCTCCTCTCAGTGGGGTAAAGTATGCGTAGGAGATGAGAGCGTGCACGCCGCCACATTGTGATGACGTGGCGACGTGCACTCATACCGCCATCTTGCTGGTAATTCTGAAAACACGTTATTCCACCCCCCCCTCGAGATGCCCAACACTAGCGGTAAGTGGCAGATATAAATAGCTTGCCATTTGAACGTTCAAGGTCGTGCTCTTCGGTGGCTCAGGTGGTTAAAATTTCGCACTCGCGTTTCAGAGATCCGAACTTTGATTCCGCGCTCCAGTCTTTTTCTGGATTATTTTTCTTTCTTGCATTTTCATAAATAAATTATATATATATATATATATATATATATATATATATATATATATATATATATATATATTCTTACGGTGCACCATCAACAGGAGCAAGCGTAGCACATTGCGAAGAGGACGAAGAAGACGCCTGTGGGTGAGACCTTGCGCGAGAGACAACTCGACTATCTTGTTTGGCTGCCGATTCTCTGTGGACGCTATACTATAAACCAAAATCTTTCCCAGTCACATTTGGTGGATGTGCTTGGTAACCGCCTCGCAACGTAACTTCGAAGTGGCCGTCGTTTACGGCTCGTTCTGGCGACCCTGCTGCGTGGAGAACCGTCGACAATCGACCAATTTGCTTTCATTGCCATCGTATTGGTCATGTCGTCCGGTACTGCCATTACTGCTGGTCCTCACCACCTCGAACGTCGTCTGAACATTACTACCGACAGAAAAGCACCCGCTTTGCATCTGCCGCGCAGCCTTCTTCGCCAAACAACTACAGAAAGTTCAACAGCCGATCTTCACCGCATAGTCGTCAGTCGCGTTTGTCTCCAGGACGTCGCCAGTCATCTCGCTCACCGCAGACTCGTAGGCCGTCATCCCCATTCAGCCCCGCTCCTGCCTATCCAGAAAACTAAATGATGCAGCGCCCGGAGGTGACGCTGCATTATCGACTTCCTCCACAAATCCTCTCGACGCTTCTGACGAGACAAAGTTTGTTAGACATTGACGTTGATGGTGTGACTATTTCTGCCCTTATAGATACTGGAGCGCACATTTTGTAATGAACGCAAACCTTCGCCGACGCCTACATAAAGTGCTCACACCTGTCGCTTCCCGCACACTCCGAGTCACTGATGTGTCCATTGCCGGTCATCCTACATTAGTTCAGTTAGTCATCATTGAAATGTGTCCTCATGACCTAATACTTGGCTCGGACTTCCTGTCACGTCATTCTGCGCTCATTGATTGTACCACTGGTGCTCTTCAGCTTGAACTGCCACAGCTTGCCGATTTTCCAGCTGATCATTCTCCTTGTTTATGCTCCCGTCACCACGTTCGCTTGCCTCCGCAAGCTGCTACATACGTCACTTTGCCGTTCTCACGTGATGTGCCCTATAGTGACTACCTTGTCACTCCTATAGTCGACGTACTGATGACCCAAGACGTTGCCCTTGCTCACACTGTTGTCTCTGTCGCTGATAATACAGTGGTCATACCCCTACTCAACGTCAGTCTCTTGACTCAAGTTATTCCGCAAGACATGTCTTTGGCCACCCTATCTCCACTTGACAGCTGCAACGTAACTGGTTTGGACACCGATGCTAGATCCCCCTGTCTTGGCTGCAATTACACTCTGCCTGCCGATGGCATTAACAAGATCTCACCCCAGCGCAAGCTGCCGGCCTCCAACGTCTGCTAACATCATATAGAGACATTTTTTACTTTGACCACCGTCCTCTCGGCCAAACAACTGCCGTGACTCACCGGTTCAACACTGGTGATGCCAGTCCTATACGGCTGCGTCCATATCGCGTATCTCACAAGGAACGCCAAGTAATTCAGAATGAAGTGGACAAAATGATTACTAAAGACGTCATAGAACCATCATCTAGCCCCTGGGCCTCCCCAGTCGTGCTCGTTGAGAAGAAGGATGGCAGCTGGCGCTTTTGCGTGGACTATCGCCATTTAAACAAAGTTACCCACAAAGATGTCTACCCTTTGCCTCGGATTAATGACGCCCTCGATTACCTCCATGGTGCCCAATACTTTTCGTCTATCGACCTTCGGTCCGGCTATTGGCAAATCTCCGTCGACCCCATGGATCGTGAAAAAACCGCTTTCGTTACGCCCGACGGCCTCTACCAGTTCAAAGTCATGCCGTTTGGACTGTGTAATGCGCCGGCAACTTTCGAGCGCATGATGAACTGCCTTCTCCGAGGATATAAGTGGTCCATCTGCTTATGTTACTTGGACGATGTCATCGTCTTTTCACCTACCTTTGACAGCCATATAACACGTCTGTCAGCCGTTCTGGATGTTTTTCGAAGAGCCCCTTTCCAGCTTAATTCTGCTAAATGCCATTTCGGACGTCGCCAAATCATCATACTCAACCACCTTCACAGTGACGCTGGTGTTCAACTGGATCTTGACAAGGTGCGAGCAGTACAAGAATTTCCTGAACCACCTTCAACCAAGGACCTCTGAAGTTTTGTAGGGCTATGTTCCTATTTTCGTCGATTCGTCCGCAACTTCCCCGACATCGCACGATCGCTTACTGATCTCTTAAACAAGGATGTTCCCTTCACATGGGGCGAAGAGCAAACGAACGCTTTTTCGGCTCTTATCCATCTGCTGACTACGCCACCAATACTGGCCCATTTCGACCCTGCATCACCTACAGAGCTTCGAACCAATGCTAGTGGCCATGGAATTGGAGCGGTCCTCGGCCAACAACAGCACGAGAGGAATCGCGCGATTGCTTACGCCAGTCTTCTTTCACCTGCTGAACGGAAGTTCTCCATCACTGACCGTGAATGCCTAGCTTTAGTGTGGGCCGTGACAAATTTCAGGCCTTACCTATATGGCTCAACTTTTTCCGTTGTTACTGACCATCACGCTCTCTGTTGGCTCTCATCGCTAAAGGACCCATCTGGATGTCTCGGTCGCTGGGCGCTGCATCTCCAAGAATACTCGTTCATGGTGCACTACAAGTTGGGAGGCCTGCACACAGACGCAGACTGTTTGTCACATCATTCGGTTGAAACGCCCGACTTGACAGACCTCTCATCAGACTCCTGCGTGCTCTCCATCCAGGCTTTGGGTGATATCTCCACCGAACAACGTGACCCATCGTTACTCTCCATCATAGAGCATCTGACCTCTGCTCCAACAGATCCTTCAGTTCACCTGTTCGAACTGCACGATAACATTCTGTACCGTCGCAGCTTCAACGCCGATGGCCCAGAATTACTACTCGTGCTTCCCCACCACCTGCGTTCCAGCGTTCTCGAACAACTCCACGACGTACCTACAGCCGGTCACCTAGGTGTCTCTCGTAACTATGATCGTGTGCGACATTGCCTTTTCTGGCCCGGACTGTATCGTTCTGTGGTTCGCTACGTCACTGCTTGCGACCGCTGCCAACGCCGCAAGCGCCCCTCTGTGCTACCGTCTGGCCTCCTACAGCCCATTGACATACCGACCGAACCATTCTTCCGTGTTGGCCTTGACCTGTTGGGCTTGATTCCTACGTCCACCTCCGGGATTAAATGGGTTGCAGTCGCCACAGATTACGCCACACGCTTTGCCATCACTCAGGTACTGCCGACAAGCTGTTCCACTGATGTCGCCGACTTTCTCTTGTATGAAGTCATTCTTCATCACGGCGCTCCGCGGCAGCTGCTTGCTGATCGAGGGAGGTACTTCCTTTCATGTGTTGTGGATGACATTCTGTGCGCCTGCTCCACTGAGCACAAGCTTACCACCGCTTTCATCCACAGACAAACAGATTGACATAGCGTATGAACCGAACGCTGATGCATATGCTGTCAATGTACATTTCACCAGATCACCGTGACTGGGACAAAGCACTCCCCTTTGTCACCTTTGCGTACAACTCTTCATGACACGACACAGCTAATTATTTGCCGTTTTATTTGCTATTTGGCAGACATCCAACGTTACCATTTGACACGCTCCTTCCTTAAGCTGCCCCTTGTTTACTGAGTACGCCAGCGATGTCGTTTCTTGAGCCCATGCAGCCCGTCAGCTTCCCCATGATCGGCTGCACTTGTCGCAAGAGCACCAAAAAGACCGTTATGACAGTCGCCACCAAAGCCTGCACTTCCAGCCGGGGTCTCTGGTACTTCTCTGAACACCAAATCACCAAGTCGGCTTCTCAGTGAAGCTACTACCACACTACCACGGCCCCTACAAGTGTTACGACAACTCAGTGACGTGACCTACAAGATCACACCCCTAAACAATGCCTCTTCGACCCCCTCACTCCAGATGGATGTTGTCTACATTTCCAGACTCAAACCCTATCACCCTGGTAGTTCGTACCAAGCGCCGAGATGGTGCTTCCGCCGCAGGGGAGTAATGTTACGGTGCACAATCGACAGGAGCAGCCGTAGCACTTTGCGAAGAGGACGAAGACGCCTGTGGGTGAGACGCTTGCCGGAGAGGCAACTCTGCTATCTTGTTCGGCTACCGAATGAATTACGTAATTTTCATGTGCGAGGAAAGAAACTTTACTTAATGTCTGTACGTGCTAAAAAGGTAGCAAGATTGAGCTCGAGGAAGTTGCACACAGAGGAAGGCTTGGCAAATGACAAAAAGGCTGTGTTTGAAATGCAACATGAATTATGAATTG